CTCAGATTTTGGATTCATTTTTCGAAGTTAACCCTCGTTAACCCTAAAATGACTTAGTTTATTATAATCCTTAATCATTTAATCATTTATTAATTAATATCTGTTAAAATTAGAATTGGCGAATTTTGGCTAATTTATGAAAATTGAAGTTGAAATATACTATACTTTTATAGGTCATGTAAATGTTCCATTAAATTCGAAACTTTTCTTGGAGGAAAATATTAATATGTTTGATATTTTATGAGAGATAAATGTATCAGCTTCAAAATAGAAAAGATTGCGCAGCCATAGTGATTGACAGTATGTAGTGCGCATTGAGAAAAGAAGGTGCTCTCCATTTCGTCATGTCCAACTTTTTGGTCAACTATGCCTGCTGATTGAAAATTTGATGGCGGGGAACACATGGGACTTCAAAGGCATCGCGCAAACGTTCTTTACGCGCTGCGGCAACTTTGATCTTGGATCATTTGCATAGCGCTGCGTGCGCGTGGCTTTGCCGAGTGATCTCCTTCTCAATAATACCTCCATGATTCAACTAGTTAAAATTAGTGTAAAACTGAGCTCAGAATTGAAATACTGTATCATTTATTACCCCAACTAGCACCCCTCTTACATTCCTATCGCAACCTTCCCTAAATTCATTAGTCAATCATATTTTTGTTTCCTTTCACAGATAACCATGACATCATATCATACAAAGTGTTTGAACTTGAGGTAGAGGGCGCTAATGAAGATTATGATTATGCAAATGTGAATCCAAGTGCTGATTTCTTTGCTCCACCAAGAGGTTAGTATGAACTCCTGTAATAACAATAATAATAGGAATTTATATTGCACCTCTTGCCAAGGAGACTAGTAATTGAGTCCATAGACTGGCAACCTGGCACAAAGTGCAACCTGCTCTATTCCCTAGGAAAGAGTATACCTAGTAGCACTGCAATTTAAAGTACACAGAATAATACAGTGCACCCTCTAATTTCAAGACCTCTCCAAGACCATTTTTTTAAAGACCTAAATAAACAATCTTCAAATAAGAAAGTATAATACATACTCCAAGTATTGAAATGCACGCCATCTTCAATCTTTTAAAAACAAAGATGATGTTGCCGATGGTGATGGTTATGATGAAGATAATTATTGGTTTGATGGATGATTGACAGTTACCGTACAAAATATCCAAAAGTTGCTTGAAGCCACCTGTATGCAAGTCATGATGGATAATTAATGTATGCATACACCTGTATGCAAGTCATGATGGATAATTAATGTATGATGTATTTTATCTTCCATAGATCATGTCGATGACCCTAAAGGCGCCTTCAAGAATGTTACTTTAACCTGGAAGAAAATGTTCCTTCTTGTTTTCTGTATACTACTAGGTGTATCAGTGTGCATTATCGTTGGGGTATTAGTATTTATGAAAAGACAAGAACACAACAGAAAACGATTCTACTGAGCAGCTTTTATCAATTTTATATGGTTTTCTTATTTTTTTAATCATTAAAAATGGTGGAATTAAACATCATGAAGAGGGTTTTTTTTAATAAGTTGCAGAAAGGGGAAAACTTTTTTTTTTCATGAGTATGGATGCTGGTATTATGCAATCTTTGCCAGTGTAAAGTGGAACAAGATCTCTTTCAATTATATAAGTTTACAGAATATATTTTAACATTACTATTTGTTTTATTTACCAATTATTAATATTTTAGTATTAACATTTTATTTAATATTTTATGATCCTTTTTAATATAAGCAACTCAAAGAAAAAATTTTTTTTTTCTTTTTTGTTAAATTTATTATTTATGGGAGTTCCAAATTATTTTTATCAAAATATATGAACTTTTGATCAACAAATTTGACAAACCACAAAAAAAAAACATTACAACTACTGTATGTCCAAATATATATACTGTATATATATATTGAAAACATACTCATTCATACATCTCAACAGAAAGTAAACTACAGTATTAACAATGGAATGTTAAGCAAAATTATAGATTCATTTAGTTAAGCATTTTATAATGGTTCACCTGTATTATGAGATGACATCTCAACAGACAAACAGAAAATAAACTACATTTTAATAACAATGGAATGTTAAACACACTTAAAGCAAGATTGATTTAGTTGATAAGCATTTTTATAGTAACATGCAACCTATTCAAATTTACTAAATAGCCATTACAATTCACCCTCCAATTCAAGACCACACCTTGAAACCTGAAAATTTGGGGTGGTCTCAAGGTTCGGTCGCTGCATAAATTGTTAGCTTAGTGTTGAAAAATTGAAGATTGTTATTTGGTTTTTTGATACAGTGGTCTCGAATTGGAGGGTGCATTGTATTTCAAAATCTAAAATTTATATCAATGAATTTCGTAGTTTATAACAGGGAATTGTTTTTAAGCATGCGAGGTCTCACTACAAAATAAGTCTCATCGTTAGAAAATCAAAAAAGGAGTTTATATTACATTTTGGTAGATCACATTATAAGCTTTAATTTGGTCTTTCAATGGCTTCCCTAGGATAAATAGATCCAGAGATGTGAGCATTTAAAGTTTAGGTGTATGAGAACCAGGTTTTGAGAATATGCGAAGAGAAAACTGTTTTAGTAAGAAAATTCACTTAAAAAGTACACAATCATAAAATATAAATATCAAGTTATTCAAAAACATTAAAATGAAAATTTTGTAAAAATGTTGCCTTTGACCTATTTTGGTGAATATCTGGATATGATTTCACCAACGATGCGTCTCATTTCGTGGAGACCCCACAAATTCTGTAATTGACTGTATAGTTATTCACCACAGTTGATTATATTCCATTTGTGGACTGGATTAAAGGGGCCATGTATATTTTGTGTAAATAGGTCAAAAGCTGACCTAAAATATATGAATTCATCTTTATTCTATTGTAATTTATTTTGGGTAGAATATTCAAAAATTAAATAGTTAACTTTTAAACCAAAAGAACAATCTTATACTGTAGAGCTAAAGAAATGATGGGAAAAAATGTATTTACTTTTTTTTTTTTATTGAATTAACATCTTAAGTAACAGACACAATGGTAGTAATGTTGATTGTACAGCTACTGATGGCATTTTCTTTATTATTGATTTAAACAAAGATATCATATTTAGCTAGCATACACACACTTCAAAAGCTTCCATGTTTAATAAAGATTTTGTTTATAATTTTGAGTTCTTTACTTATTTAGTAACCATCTCACATTCACATTGTTGTTGCAAACATGAATGATAAAAACCTATTTTTAGTTGGCTTGATTCAAGATTATGGGGACAGTCATTTATGAGTTTAGATCTGGCCAACCAGACATGAAGAGTGAATATTGAGGACCTATTGAGTACATTTTTAAAGTTGTTTCAGAGCTCATTTTGCCATTTCCAAATTAATAAATAAATCATAAAAAATCTGCGTGCTGTAGCAGGGTGGGCCTACCCAGGCTGAAACTAATTTTATGGCCCTGAAACCACCTTTATTAGCCCCACGCTTGCCCATCTTTAAAATTCACTTTTATTATTTATAGTTCGATGTTTTTATCCACCCACCTGTAGTAGAAAATATATCAAAAATATCACACCGACAAATTTTATTTTATTTACAAACTTTATCTGTAAATTTGTGGAGCATATTTACATACAATATAATAGTACACCTGAATATAAGAAAGATGACATGAAGAGGAAATGCAATCATTTTGTCTAGCAATTTGTAAATTCTCCCTGTGGAAAATTGACTTGATTTCTTTTACCTTCTTTGGTGTTTAAACTCATTTCTTTAAAATATATTATCTTAAATAATTTGGTATGTTTGTTCAATGTCTTGTTTACTCTTCAGGGAATTTCTCTATTTGTGGGATACGTATGGTATTGTACAACCATCTATCAAAATATATACAAACATTTTAATTGGACATTGAAATACAGTATGTAATGGCTACATGTACACTCGGCAGGTGGAAAACGGCGCCGCGAGCACCCCTACTAGGGATGGATACGTGCGCCTAACAAAATGACATTATTATTATTATTAGTATTGTTGGCTCAACCAATGGCAAGACTCCTAGGCATGATGTCACTTTCTGCATCATCTTTGTAATGTCTGAAGCTGATCTTCTAAAGTGTCAAATACATCCAAGCTAAAAAGAACCAAGATAAAAATAATTTTTCCATTTAAAAATAATTATAATTATTTTATTGTTAAAGGTAACAATAATATATTTTATCAAAAAGTATTTTAATTAGAAATAATGTGTGAACTAACCTCCTTTCTATAGCTTCCTCTCTGAAATAGGAAACAAAATTATAATACGATTATTCTCTGATATCTAAAAAAATGTCACAAAATTTAATTAAAATTTAAATAGCGATTTGAAAGATTGATGCTTTATCAACGTCCAATGAGATGGATTTTAAAAATTCATCAGTTTTGATGATTTACTGTACCGCCTATAATGCAAATTCTTAAGTTCATTACGCAGACTTCTCAAGTTAGTATTCAATTATCTCCATAGCACTGGAATGTAACTTCTGCACAAAAATTAGGCCAAGAAATTTGTCTGCACATTTTCAAAAAATAAGATCTGATTTTTCAAGTAGATTTTGCTGATTAGTTGCCCTAATCTTAATATAACCAATGTATTTGAGGTAGTTACGATTCAGCGCACCTACTATTTTCTTAGCAATTTTCAGTGAAAATTTGAGCTAGTTTTTTTTAGGCATCATCCGTGCAATTAAAAAACTTCACAGTATGGATTACAGGTACAGGATAATAACAAGCTGTGGAATTTAAAGCAAACGGGACAGCATGAATATTTGCGTACAGGCCACTTTTATCAATAAGCTGACAAGTATGAGTTGTGTAGGGACAATGTAACCAAAGATCCTGATGGATAAGTCATTTGTTCTGGACTTCAGAACTTATATTTGGGTCAAATGATAATTTTCTGTAGTATATTTTTCTATTCTGTACATCTGTTATTAGGCAAAATTTCTTTAGCAACTATGGAAGTTCCATAGTACCTGAGAAAGTTCCATAGAACCTGAGAAGTCTGATTATGTATAATTATGAAACTTGTACCTTACTATATTCAATACTGTACTTACTGTACACATTGAATAGAATAATTAGTCCTTATGTGCCCATTAAAAACTAAAACAAAAATTCATGATACTTACTGGAATTCTAGATGAGAAACTTGTATTTTTATCTTCTCTAAGTTCTGAATAAAAAAAAGGGTAGCAGGTCAAAACAGCAAATAGGCCAAAACGGCAATGACAAGTACCAAAACAGGAGCCAAGTCAATGTCAAGAATAGCCACATAATTTCTGAATCGTTTTGAAATTGTCCCGACAAGCAAATCGAATATTGCCATGTGCTCTTTTTCCCACTTTTAATGTTTAATCACGGTTTTTAAAAAAAAATTTATTACACATTTATGGCAAAATATTTAGATGCTTCATTTTGTCTATACAGTATTTCAAAGTTATATTTTTTATTTTCCCCAATCTTTGTATTATTGAATTGGAAGTTTTATTATTATTATTATTATTATTATTATTATTATTTTTATTATTGTTGTTGATGTTCTTTTGCGTTTTTGACTTCTATGACAATTTAGCCTCATTTTTACCGTATTAATCGTTGTACACTTTCATGTTTATATACTTGGTTTATTTTTTTTGCGTTTTTACTTTTATGAAATAAATTGTTTAGCCTCATTTTGTCTGTATTTTAAAGTTTTACTTATTTAAATGTTTACTTTTATACTTTCGTTCCCCAATCTTGTTATTACTGAATTTGTAGTGTTGTGTTGTTATTGCTATGACAATTTAGCCTCATCTTTACTGTATTTAATCGTGTAGACTTTCATGTTTAGAATTGGTTGCCGTTCTGGTCAAAAAGTGTTGCTGCTTTTTTCATTGCCATTTTGGTTTATTGCAGACCAAAAAGCAAAAAAAAAAAGACAATAGAAGAGTGGGTTATTGTATTCATACCAATTTTCCACGTTGATTATTTAAAAAATGTGCAATCAAACCAAATACTCACTTTTTCAGAATTGTTAATGGTTTGCTCCTGAGCTGCAAAACTCCTGGCTGATTGAACAATTTGCTGTAAAGAAAGGTGGACAGAAGCATTTATTTAATTGCACTAGGTTTAATAACACTTGAATTAAATCCAAGCCATTCGTACGTTATGTAGTCAACCGTTGACGTACCTACAGTACCAGGCCTAGCTAGGCTACCTAGACCTAAGACCTGTCTGGTCCAGGGCCTGCCTACTACTGTACTACTAAGCCGTGCGGTCGGTAGCCTAGCTAGGCCTAAAAGTTAAGGGCTTGGTCCAGGCCCAGAGAGTATTACCTACCTCAGTACTCTTGGATGATCTTACTATATGCCTAGCAAGTGATCCCAAATCATTTATATTTTCTTGAACTTTTATCGGTAATCTGGAATCCATCGTGTATGCCTCTTCTCCTCAGATCTCTCTCCGCTGCGATCATTCCCAATGATCATCCCGGGAATCATCCTCTCGTTGGGGACTTTATCCGGTATCTCAAATCATGATACCGTAATGACGTCACGCGGTGGCAACGTTAGAATTACAGTATAAAATAAAAATTATTAAATTATATTAAAAAAAATTAAGGACATGTTTCACATTAGCTGCAAATTAGACGGAAGGGCTGAATATTTTCCCCATACAAAAGTAAAAAAGTTCTTTTTTATTGAATATTTAATGTATTTTTTATTGAATATCATTATAGTAAATAAATCCAATGCCCAAATAAGCAAGAATGAAAATATTTTTCCTAGGTAACCGACACGCATATTCTAAGAAATGTATGTAAAATGTCTCTGATGAAGAAAAAATCCTCTTAATGTCACCTCACAATGCATCACGAGTGCGACCGGACACCCAAAAGCAGCTCATAAAGCAAATCAAAAGTTGTATCGTCTTTTAAAATTTAAATAACCATTCAAACATCCCATTTAATCCCCAAGCCAGTTTTAAAGTCATGTACCTGTACATCTAATCTCCGTAATTATGACAATTTCGCCCAACTCCATTCTTGGACAAGCCCGAACAAAACATTATTTTAACTAGCCCTGGCAGGCAGTGCCAGATTCTGGAATTCGAAATAGAGGCGGGGCTCAGGAGGGACTTTAAGGGGTCCACCAACCTGAGCCCTCCATAGTTGTGGCCAAGGAAAGTAAAATTATGATTATAACACCCCTAGGTGGCCAGAAATAGAACTCAAAAACTTAAATTTGAATATAATTTTTACCATTTTTTTAAAATAAAAAAAAAGTCAAAGTGTGACTCGGGTGGCTGTCTCTAGGGGAGGTTGTATCGCTACACTGTCTCTAGTGTTGTACTGCGTAGTAGTCCCCGACGCAATCGGGAAGGCTCCCGATTCGACCGACCAATCAGTATCATCGAAATCTGTCGGCGATACGTGCAGCGATTGTATGGAAATCAATATAGGACATATATAAATTAAATGAAATTAATATTTGTTGTTCATTTGTTGTTATTTTTTACATACTACTTAATTATAACTTTACAGGGAGTGGCCAAAAACGGGGCTGTTTATACCTTTCGGCATTAAGGCACTGACTTATCTATTAAGAATTGAAGAAGTGGAGGCGTCAGGATTCTCCAACAAAAGCACAAGTGGGCGTGGCCGGAGATGCTTAGAACCACTCGGAAGGGTTCATGGAATTGAAAGGCTTATTTGATTTTTAACAATATGTTATATAA